TTGTTGTTGTTAGTGCCGCCGAGTCGGTTCCAACCCAAAGCGACCCTGTATAGGGTTTCTGAGGAGCAGCTGGTGAGCTTGAACCACCGACCTTGCAGTTCAAACAACTTTGCAGTCTGGTGCATTAACCCCAGCACCACACCAGGACTCAGAGATGGGGATTGGGGTTCACTGATTCAACAGTGAGTCACAACTGTAAAGGTAGAAGTTGTGCAACATAAAGGGGGGAGTAGTTAAATCTTGCATTCCAGGAGAAGGGGCTAGGACCATCTAGAGAGAGCAGGAGCTAAACGTGGGACCCAGCGAGACCAGAGATGGAGGCAGAGGTGATGGCATGAAGAGAGAGCAGCTGAGGACTCTACTTATGGAAAGAGAAAACTGTGTGCTGGAGGCCAGGAAACAAGCTTCCAGAATATGCCCTGTTTAAACAATTATATATCCCTACGTGTTTTGTTTTTTTTTTAATACGTACGTTAGAAGGTAGACAAGCATTGACATGGGTAACAGGGCAGGCAATACACAACCAGAGGGAGGCTGGCAGAGGAAAGATGGGTTGGCAGGAGACACAGGGAGGAATGAAATGGTTAAAGTGAATAGAGGTAAATGCTGTTAACTGTTGGTGCATGGAAAGGATTGCAAGCATACAATGAAGCAAAGTATATGATTTGTTGAGTGTGACACTGATGATGTGCTCTGTAAACCTTCACTCAATTCACAATAAAAAGCTTAAAAAATAATAACAATAATAGACTTTCCTTCCTCTACTCCACCCAAAAGTGGTGGTAGTGGTTATGTGCTGTGGAGTCAGTTCCCACTCATAGCGCCCTGCATAGGGTTTCCGAGGCTTTAAATCTTTATAGGAACAGAAAGCCTCATCTTTCTCCCACAAAATAGCTGGTAGTTTCAAACTGAGGTTCGCAGCCCAATTCGTAACCACTACGCTACCAGTGTTAATGTTGCTATTGTAAGTGTTGTTAAGTGTCAAGTCGATTCCAACCCATACCACCCCTGTATAGGGTTTCCGAGGAGCCGCTAGTGAGTTTGAACCACCAAGCTTGCAGTTCAAACCACCCTTGTGGTCGACTGCTTATCCTATAGAACCACACCAGTGATAACAGTTTGGTGTATATTCTTTTAGACTTTTCAGGCTTATACAAATACACATACACATAGAACATTTTTTTAATTTGCATAAAATTACTAAATAAGTATTGTACTTACTAGCATACAGTTGTACACCTTTTCAAGAAATAAGTATTCTCCCTCAGGTAATTGCCTAAGGAAATTTCTAATGGACACAAAGTATTCCAGTAAATGAAATGTTGTATATTAAACCATCTGAAAAGTAACAATCTATGCCTCAGGTACTAAGCAGTCTAATGGGTGAATAGCTACATTTTTGATAATTTAATTTTTCCTATTTAAAAAAAATCTCAATAAACTGATTTGGAAAAATGAAACAAAGAGGCTGAAAAAAATTTTTAAAGATATATATGTGTGTTGTTGTTAAGTACTGTCTAATCGGTTCCATCTCATAGTGACCCTATTAAAGGTTTCCAAGGAAAGCCTGGTGAGTTTAAACCACAGGCCTTGTGGTTCAAATTGACCTTGTGGTCCAATGCTTATCCTATGGCACTATACCAGAACTGTGTGTTGTTGTTGTTAAGTGCTTTTGAGTCAGTTCCAACCCATAGCGACCCTGTGTAGGGTTTCGAAGGAGCAGCTGGTGAGCTTGAACTGCCAACCTTGCAGTTCAAACGGCTTTGCAGTTTGGCACATTAACCCACAGCGCCACACTAGGACTCCAGAACTGTGTGTAGACCTATAGACAAACAGACAGATAAATAGAGTCCTGGTGTGGTGTTATAGGAAAATGTACTGGAAGGTCAGCAGTTCAAACCAGATGCTCCACAGAAATCCTATACAGGGTAGCTATGAGTCAGAACCAACTTGATGGCACTCAACAACAACATAGATATGTATAGATAGATGCCTGGTTGCATAGTGGGTTATGAATTGAGCTTCTACCTGCATGGTCAGCAGTTCGAATCCACCAGTCACTTGGGAAGAGTGAAAGATGAAGCTTTCTACTCCTATAAAGATTTAGACTCTAAAACCCTATACAGAGTCACTATGAGTCAGAACCATCTCGACAGCACACAGTACACAGATAAAATATACATGTTGTCAGACACCCTATACAGAGTAGGAACTGACTCGATGGCACTTGACAACACCACCACCAATAGATATGGATATAGATGTATGGAGTCCTGGTATGATACTGTAGAATAAGAACTGGACTGCTAGCTGCAAGGTTGGCAGGTTCAAACCCACTGGCTGCTCCTCACAAACCTTCCACAGGGTTGCTATGTCAAAACTGACTTAACAGCACTGAAGAACATACACGGAGTCCTGGTGTGATGCTGTGGGTTAACGCACTGAACTACGAGGTCGGTTTGAAATCCAAGGTCAGGGTTCAAGCTCACCAGTTGCTCCTTGGAAACCCTACACAGGGTCGCTATGACTCAGAACCGACTCATTTGCTCCTTAACAACAACAATAATGTATATATGTATATGAGTTCTGTGTGGCACTGAAGGCTAAGCACTGGATGCTGCCTGTAATATTAGCAGTTCAGAACCACCAGCTGTTACTTGGAAACCATATACTGGATCTCTATGAGTCAGAACCAGTGGCATTTAACAGCAATAATATATATATGTACATACATATGAATGGCCAGAGTAAGCAGGATTAGCAGGGGTATATAATCTTTTTTTTTTTTTTTTAACCTTCTAAATATATTAATAAGCAGCTGTAGAATTGGGGGTAATGAAGGGAGTAAGTAAGCACAAAGGTCTAAGAACATGAGAGCAAAAAGGTATAAAAAATTAAAAAAAAAAAATCAACCTCTTTCAATTTGCCTTATTTTTATAGAAATTTAAACATAAATTTTAAGTGCAAAAAAACTTGAAAGAAATCCTAATCAAAGCTTGAATTATTGACATTAAAATTTTTAACCAATAAAGATATTATAAATATTAATTTGAAAATGGCATTACTTTTAAAACTTGATTTCAAGAAATTTTAATTTGGTTTCATTATTAGTTTAGCAAGTTGCAACCCCTAATTCATCGATAGTTGTAGAGAGGTAAGAAAAAGAAGAAAAAAAAATCACATTAATTGGATAATGCTTTTCTTTAAAGTAAAAAGTTACAAAACCTAACAGTTGTTAAACACATTGTTTGCAAAACATAGTATAATTAATCCGTGAACCAATTCCATATATAAAATCAATCACCTTCCCAGTGGTGGACTTCTTTAAATGAGGTAAGCCTTGGAAATATACAATTAAACCCAATACTAGTAGGAAAACCTTAAATTAGAGGTCCTACGAAACGTGTAAAACCACCCAGTCTTTTTCTGTATCAACTCCTATTACTATTAATCCACATATACTTATTGTTCACTTTTTAAATAGTCATTTTATTTTTTTCTAATAATATGCACATGCTTTAAAAAATATTGGAAACACGGAGAAAAGAACAAGGATTATAATCCACTTTATGTATACAATCGTCTAGTCATTTATGCATACAATTTTTTTCTTACCAAAGTTTGAATCATTTGAAAGTATTATATTCCAAAAGTTGTAATTAAACATAAAAAATTAGAGTGTCAATAGTTCATAATAGTTGCAAAATTAGTCCATTTACTTGTCTACATGTACATTTTCTTTTGTGAGGTTTAAATGTTACACTCGACTCCTTGTTACATCCACAGGCACTGGGAAGGAAAGGGCCTACATTGCAAATCCTGGTTTTCTCAATTAAAATAAGTGTATCCTTGCATAAATTGCAACAACATTTCTGTTGACCTACCAAACAACTGTTGTAAGAATTAAATAAAATGATGTGTGTGAAGGGTGCATGCACCCAATGCTCAGAAACTCCAAATATTCGCTCTTTCCTACTCACTAAATAAGAAAAACAGTGTGAATACTACCAGAAGTTACAAATAAACCCAGTAATTTATACTAAAAAGGCCGTTATTTTATCAGAACTCTTACTCATTTAAAATGTTCCCAACTCAAATACACCTGGCGAGAGCTCAAGATAGTACTACACCAACAATGTTACTCCAGAAATTATTTTAAATCCGTTGTACAACATGCGTTTGGCTATTCGAAATCATGGCTGTTAAGAGAAGTTGATACAAAAAATTCATTTTGTAAAAATATAGCACGACTTAGAACCTGTGGCTGAGAATTCCCTTGAAGTAGGATAATTAAGAAATAAAATTAACAGTAACTCTAGAGTCCTCCACCTCCCCCAAATGATAAATCTGGGGCTGAACAAGAAAGTAATTTTTCCTTTCTTTTTTTTGGGGGGGCGAGGGGCGGGATGTCCCTAGGTGGACACGAAAAGTAATTCTTCATATGAATTTACAGAAAACGCCAAGGGCACCTATGAATACAGTGGGAAGAGGTAAATGTGAAAACTGCTCCTCGCGTAGGTTCAGGAACTTAGGATTCAATTGCTTAGCACCCTGGTGTCTTTCTACAGAATCCGTGATGAGCTGGAGGGAGGAAGGTGTAGGAAAAACGGTCCGAGAAAATCAGAGGCAGCATAAAACACAATGGAAGGGGGAAGGGGAGATGGCAGCCGGAGAAAAAAAAACAAAAAAACGCGAAAGCTCTGGGGAAGCGCAAAAGGCTGGGGAGCTGGGGAAAAAAACGGAAATTTCGGGTGCTCCGCGGGAAGGATGGGGAGGCCGTGAGAAACAGGGAGGATGCGGAGGAAAAAGAGGGTGATGTCGTTCATCTGAGAGAAGGGTCGACGGTGGAAAGTGGGCATAGGCGGTACGGAAAAGCGAGGACGTGGATGTGACTGGCGGGGAAACGATTAGTAGGACTCGGGGTCGGCGGCACAGCGAGAACACGGAGATGGAGGGGACTAAAGGGAACGTGGCCGAGGCAGCGCGGGGCGCTGCTGTACCTGCAGAGATCATCCAGGACGCTGCCGGGAATCTCCACCCGTTTGGTCTCCATGATGAGGACCCACAGCAAGAGCAGTGCATCCCGGCTCCGCGCGGCCGGAGACCGAGGGTACTGCAGGGAGACTCCCACTCGCCCGAAAGCGAGCAGCGGCAACAGTTGCAGTAGCCGCTTCAAGCAAGTAGTGAGGGGGTAGGGGCGGGACCCACTCACTTCCGTCCCGTTCCCTCAGCCTTGGAGCCCGAGGCTGGGCCAAGGCGCGGGGCGGAACTCAGGGAGTCACGCCCCTGCTTTGCTTGAAAGGACCAATGGAAAGCTAGAGGATTGATAGCCTGTGAAGGCTAAGCCAATGAAACGTTTGTTTATTGACTCGTCGTCTCCAATCCGTCTTCCAGTCACTCAGTTGTTACTCAGAAAACCAACTTCCCGCCGCCTTTGACGGAGCCCAAGGGTGGACAGGCGCATGCGCACCGTGTCTCGTTTTTCACAACTGAAGCTAGAGTGCCCAGGTTTTCCCTATTGACAGCCAGCAATTTGGTGTGGTCTGAGCATCCTCTCGAAGAGTTCTGGTGGCCAAGTGGATAAGCACTGTGCTTTGTTGTTGTTAAGTGCCCTAGTCAGTTCCAACTCAGCGACACTGTATATGGTTTACAAGGAGCAAGCTAGGGGATTTGAACTGCAGCAGTCCAGTGCTTACCCTACAGCACCACATCATGAATCATTTTTTAAACTACAGCCTTGGAAAGCCTCTGTCCTATAACATTACTATGAGTCGGAATAGGAAACAGACTTGATGTCTCAGTGACTGAAAGGTATTCATATCTCTGCAGCACAGATCCAAAAAAACAGTTCACCAGCTATACTGCACACAGAGTGGCCACCGCACACATCACCTCCAGGCCCTCAGCTGTTCCTCCTTTCACTTACAAGCCCTTGATGAGGGTATGCCATTTAGGAAAGGGGCAGAAGTAAGGAGTAGCCTGGTTTAGAGTAGACCTGAGGTCCTGGTGTGGCCCTACAGGATAAGCACTCTACTGCTTACACTCTACTCATACAGTCAGGTTCAAACCCACCTCAAAAACCCTATGCAGGGTGGCTATGCTTCAGAACAGAATGGGCAAGACCTGTTGTTATTAGATGACATCAGTTTGATTCAAACTCATAGCTACCCTATGTACAACAGAAATACTGCCCTGTCCTGAAGCATCCTCACAATTCCTCCTAAGCTTTAGCCATTGCTGCTGCCACCATGCGGAATCATCTTGTTGGGGGTCTCCCTCTTTTCCTGACCTTCCACTTTACCAAGCATGTCTTCTTTCTCCAGAGATTGGTCCCTCTTGATAATATGTCCAAAGGATGAGAGACAAAGTTATCTTGGATTCTAAGGAGCACTCTGGTTGTACTTCTTCCAAAACAATCATATTTGTTCTTCTAGCATTCCATGGTATCTTTAATACTCTACTCTAACACCATAACTCAAATGCATCAATTTTTCTATGGTCTTCCTTATTTACTGACCTGCTTTGAAATACGTATGAAAATATTGAGAATACAATGGCATGGGTCAGGCCCACCTTAGTCCTCAAACTGACATCTTTGCTCTTGAACACTTTGGCTTTAGGGAGGCAAAAAAAATCAGAATTTAGAATTGAGGAAAAGGGAAATACAAGGGCTCTTAAGTTACAATACAAATTAAGGTTTTTAAATCACTGGATTGATCAAAACCTTTATAGTTTCAAAACATGCTATTTCATTTAGTCTTTACAACTACATAGAATAGGCAGATCGAGATTGATATGGCTTATCGAGATTCAAAAGTAAAACAAAACAAAATCCATTGCTATGGATTTGACTCTCACAGCTACCTAGTATAGGGTTGCAAGGCTATAAATCTTAATGGAAGTAAAAAGTCTCATTTTTCTCCCTTAAGGCAGCAGATGGGTATGAACTGTTGACCTTGCAGTTAGCTGTCCAGTGCTTATCCTACAGCACACAAGGGCTCCTTTCTTTCTGTTTTCATAGAGAATTTGTTGTTGTTAAGTGCCATCGAGTCAGTTCCAGCCCAAAAAGACCCTATATAGAGTTTAAGAGGAGCGTCTGTGGCTCAAACCAACCTTGCAGTGCAGCACATTAACCAATAGTGCCACACCAGGATTCCTTCATAGAGAAAAGTTTACTTATAAAGATTAAATTATTAAATAACACTATTATATGATGAAGTCAGGATTTGAATTCAATTCTTCTGATTCCCAGCAATTATTTTGTTTTAGGGAGAATAACTCAAAAAATATAGTTAATGCTAATACATGTAAAAAGTATTGAATTGACTAATGTTTTACTATGTATGTTGTTGTTGTTAGGTGCCATCGAGTCAGTACCGACTCATAGTGACCCTACGCACAGCAGAATGAAACACTGCTCAATCCTAGGCCAAACTCACTATTGTTGCCACGCTTGAGTCCATTGATGCTGCCATTTGGGCAATCCATCTCATTGAGCGTCTTCCTCTTTTTCGCTGACCCTCAACCTTACCAAACATGATATCCTTCTCCAGCGACTTGTCCCTTCTGACAATACGACTGAAGTATGAGAGACGAAGTTTGGCCATCTTAGCCTCCAAGGAGCACTCTGGCTGCACTTCTTCCAACACAGATCTGTTGGTTCTTTTGGCAGCCCATAGCACTTTCAATATTCTCCTCCAACACCATAACTCAAATGCGTCAATTCTTCTACGGTCTTCCTTATTTACTGTCCAGCTTTTGCACATACTGAAAATACCAAGGCTTAGGTCAGGTGCACCTTAGTCCTCAAGCTGACATCTTTGCTCTTCAACACTTTTTAAAAAGTCTGTGCAGCAGATTTGCCTAATGCAATGTCATTTGATTTCTTGACTGCTGCTTCCATGAGTATTGATAGTTGATTCAAGAACAATGAAGTCCTTGACAACTTCAATACTTTCTCCACTGATAAAAATGTTGTTTATTGATCCAGTGGTAAGGATTTTTGTTTTCTTGACATTGAGATGTAATCTATACCAAAGGCTGTGCTTTTTAATATTCATCAGTAAATGTTTTAAGTCCTCTTCATTTTCATCAAGCAAGGTTGTATCATCTCCATATTGTAGGTTGTTAATGAGTCTTCCTCCAATCCTGATGCCACGGTTTTCTTCATAGAACCCAGCTTCTCGTATTATTTGCTCAGCATACAGGTTGAATAAGTATGGTGAAAGAATACAACCTTGTCGTACACCTTTCTTAATTTTAAAACATTCAGTGTTCCCATGTTTTGTTTGAACAAGTGCTTCTTGGTCCAGGTACAGATTCCTCATGAGCACAATTAAGTGTTTGGGAATACTAATACTTCGCAATGTTGTCCATAGCTTGTCATAATCCACATAATCGAAAGCCTTTGCGTAGTCAATAAAGCACAGGTAAACAGCTTTCTGATATTCTCTGCTTTCAGACAAGATCCATCAGACATCGGCAATGATAACCCTCATTCCATGGCCTCTTCTGAATCTGGCTTGATCCTCTAGAAGTGCTCTGTCAATGTATGCTTGCAGCCATTTCTGTATTACCGTTAGTAAAACTTTACTCGCATGGGATATCAAAGAGATTGTTGGATGATTTCCGTATTCCATTGGGTCACCTCTCTTTGGAATGGGCACAAAT